TTTTTTTTTTTTTTTTTTTTTTTTTGCATGATCAATGACGTTTGGACTCAGCATTACCTTACAGCTCCCCCATGACTATCTGGCTGGTGCTCAGTGATCAGAACCCTTGTGTCCAAGGAATCGGCATTGCACCCGGGACTTCAGAGCCTTCCCTGGGCACCCAGTCCCCTCACAGGGCATGGGCACCTTTTCTGCTCACATTCTAGTCACTCAGCTTGTGCTTGGTGTTGAGGACTGCACTCCCAGGGCAAGCAGGGCAGGGTGCTGCCTCACAGCCTTGGACACCAACAGGCAGGGCGCCTCCTATCCAGCCTCAGTCTAGATGATGTGCAACTCCTCTCCCTTGAACCAAGCAGCAAATCCCCAGCGTCTTCTGGGGCCCTGGACCAAGGAGAAAAATGACAAAATAAGAAACTGTTTGGCACCTTTGTGAGAAGGCTTAGCATAGGCCCAATTTTAACCCCAAAGGCCCCAAAGCTAGCTGTGGGCTAGGTTGTGTGAGTGGCAAGGAGGTATCAGAACTAGTATACACACAGCTATGTTGCTGGGCCCTCTTGTGATCTGCTGCAGCTGGGGGGCCTGTGCCTTGAGAGTGGCTTTCACAGCCTGCCCAGTGCCAGGACAAACCTTGTAGGTTCCCAGCCACCTTTGTAAAAGTTGTCCTGGACAGCTTTGAGCTTTGGATTAAGCAGCTTTGGATTGCGCTTTGGAATAGCAGGCTCAAAGGGCTCTGAACCTGAGCCAAAACCTCCACCTGGTCCAAAGAGCCACCCCTTTAGAGCAGTGCCTCCTGGGGCCCAAAAGCTAGCCTGCAGTGGGCTTTAGCTTGTTGTTTCTAGTTGCATCCATTTGCTCAGTCCGTACAAGAAGCTATGGTCTGTCCAATCTATGGTTGGGGTCTTCAGCACTTTCTAAAACTACTATTTTCCCATTTTACATACATAGAATTTATATATGGCTTTTACAAAGTGCAATGATCCAAGTAAAACTAGAGAAATTAATAAAATAGTCTTTCATTTGTAGAGGTAGCCAAGGGAGGACCAGAGTAGGGAGGCCACTGGTGGTGGTTATGCATCTGAGCTGTGAGAGGGCTGGCCCAGGTTAAATTCTGGTCCCACAGTAGGACCAGTCCAGAGGATCTGCTGCAGGATGGGCTGCAGGAATTAGAGGACAAGGTGAGGCATGTATGTGGCTCAGGCAACTCAGGCGAAAAGAAAACCACAGCAGCAAGAGGTTAGGGCTCCTCATTAAAAGTGATTTGCAGTAAATAAAAATCAGGACATGAGAGATTAGTGTCATTTTCTAATTTAATTAATTACCTCATTTGATCCATTTGTTTGATGCGTTCATTTATCTGTGTGTGTTGAGGACCTTCCTAAGGTTCCTAACCTGCACTTCTCAGTCACGAACCCCATAATCTCTTAATGGTAGCATTTACGTAGTTCACTAAGACTATTTCTGAGGCTGGGGATATAGGGTTATTTCAGTGACAGAACCCTGCACAGCGTGCACAAGGCCCTGGGTTTCTTCCACTGTAAGGACAGGGGAGGGGTGTTTCCAGTGCTATCTCAGCTGTGAGAATCACCTCAACCACCCAGGAGGCACAACTGCCTTGCCTGAACGTCCTGCCCTCAGATAGCAGGGCCTCCTGTCTGTGCATCTTCTCCCAGTGAGGCACATTCTCTAGCTTGCACTGCAAAAGAAAACCAGCCTTCTCCCTGACAGCAAAAGTGTAGCAGGTTTCTGCTCAGCTTCCCTAAATGCACCTTTGACCCCACCCCATGGTGAGGATCCAACCCCAGCCCCTCCCTATCCACCAGGGCCACCCCCAGGCGCTCCAAAGAATGCTGCCTAGACATGGTATGCCTCACATGAGTGGGATACTGGATTCCAGGGCCAGTGGCATGGAGACACTGTGGCCTAGTGAGGACCAGCGGGTGGCGCATACATGTGGGAAAGGCTTGTCTAATTAAATTAAGCTGCTGGTTCAAGGGGCTGTTGGTGCCATGCTGGGGCCAGGACTGTCAGCTGGACCTTGGGACAACAGACAGGGCTCTTAGGGCTCCCAGGGCCAACCTGTGAGAGCCCAGCGCTTACTCAGGATGGGGATTAAGATCACCAGCAGAAGTGGGAGAAGCCACCCAGCACTCACCCAGCCACAGGCACCTCCCTGCCTTTGCCAGCCTTCATCAAGCCAGGAGCAGGTAGGGAGCTCTAAGGACAGACCTGGAGATTTTGACTCCTTCCTGTGAAAGGCTCCATAGCCAACAGTCCTTTTTTCTGGAAAAATACCAACAGCTCATAATTTTAGGAAATGATGCATTGAAAGTGAAGTGTGACTTTTTAGAATGAGAAAACAGGAAGCTCTTAGAAACTGCAAGATTCTAAATGTAACCAGAGGCTATTTTTTTACCTTTGGTGTTTCTATAGCTGTCCTTAAAGTGTAAGTCATCTCAAATTATTTTCAACTAGTGTGACATGTTCAGCCAGAGCTGTTTCTACCTTCAGCTTGTCAGCCCTTTAGCAGGAGGGTCTTCAGGTGAAGTCCGTGGCTGTAGGTTTGGGATTTGATGCCCTGCCCACCCAATTTAGACCATGGCTGTCCCAAGAGCTCGGCCGTGCTCTCCTCTGCCAGCATCAGGACAGATCCAGCAATGAAGGACAGACATGAGGGCCGAGCCCACAAGCCTGTGGCCCAGCTGGCCACTTTCCAGGTAAAAGTGAGACAAGCAGGTGTGATGGAGGTGTGGCCTGACACTGCCTCCTCTGAGAGGAGAGGCCATAGAGTGAGAGAGGGGACAGGATGTGGACTTAATCACAACTACCCAGAGAACAGGAACTAAGCACCCACCATGCTCTGAGCTCCAAACACTCTTGAAACAGCCTTGTCCTAGGCCCACGGAGTCTGGCAGCCCTTGGGAAGGCAGCCAGCTGCGCTGAGCCACCAGGAGGGCGCTGTGGCCCACGATACCTTCAGAGACATGAAAATGTTCTTATTTCCTTAAAATCAGAAAAAAAAAAATCCAGCTATCTTTTCACTAATCACTAATGCAGCGGCAAAACAGCGTTAGGGTTTTTATGGATGGAAGGCCCATGGTAGCAGAACTAACTGCAGCTCACAAAAGCCTCCCTGATGGGCACACATACACCGCACCACACACCACACATGGGACTACACACAACCCACTCACACCATGTCATACACACAACACACATATAATACATGCACACACAACACACTCACAACACCCATACATACTACACACACACCAAACATGGCACAGCCATACAGAGAGCATATAGTATACACAACGTAACCACACACACACACACACACATGCACGGCCCTGCAGGTCAGCCTCCTGCTCTAGTGAGCTTCCTGTTCAGCAGGCCATCATCTCCTGGGTGGGGGGGGGGGCAGCATGCCCACTCCAGGTCTGTGTGAGCCCTGCCTGCTTACTTCTAGCCCTGGGGCAGACGGTGTGTCTCAGAGTCCTCACCCCACCCCTGGCACCCACTTTTCCCAGAAAGCCTGGGAGAGTGGGCCATCTCTTCGTCCCAGGCTCTCCTAGCCCTAACCTGCACTGCTCAGTACTGGGGCCCCATGTGGGACTCAGAAAACATGGTTGTCACACTGTAAGAGGCCCAGTGCTCTCTGCTGCTCCGGGTCTGTGTGGTCACGTGGCAGATCCTGTCCTGGAACTGTCGTCAATCTACTGCTGAGATCCGGTCAAGGACTAGTGGAGTGTATGTATCCCTACCTCAGGGCACCAACAGCCCCCACTACAACACGTTGAAAGATGTCTCTTCTACCCCATGACCACCGCAGAGAGCGGATTACATCCTTTCTCATGCTTCATGCTTTAGATGAAATAAATACATGGTACCCGTGAGTCCTTGTCATAACATCGTGGGCTTGTCTGGTCTTTTCTAGATGATCATTCCAGGGTGATTTTGAGTCAAGTGGATGGAATTCCTTGCTCAGACTACATCAATGCTTCCTACATAGATGTAAGTTGGCCATTTTTCTGTCCCCCTGGCCCAGCACAAAAGCACCCACTGAGCATTTGTGGGCTGAGTCTGAATCATGACTCTGAGCAGTTTCCTCTCCAGTGCCAGAGTTACAAAGTTACAACCCTGTTGGGCAGTTTGGCCACCCACAGCCTCGAGAACATGAAGCTGCTCACACTTTCCAACATCAGGGACTCTGTTTCCAGCAGGACAAAGGTAACACAGAGACAGCAAACCATGCTCACTGTACAGTGGTACCTCAGCTCAGCAATGCAATTCTTTCCACAATTCTGGTCACAAACTGAGTTGGACAAGAACCAAATCAAATTCAGTTCAGTGTTGACCTTATGGGGAAATTTTGTTCACTTCTCATCCAATTTGGTTTGTGATCAGAACCATGGAGAGACTTGAGTTCATGAACTGAGGTACCACTATATTACTGACAAACTAGAACCAGTTCAGTTCTAGTTCAGTTCAGTTCTGGAACATTGTTACTCATTAAATAAATTGTGATAAAATCATACGTGACAGGTTATTAAGCACACATTTAATTGATCTTTAGAAGATCATTTAATATAAATTATAAATTTCTCAGTTAAAATGCAAGGATAGCCAGGCATGGTGGTGCACACCTATAATCCCAGCACTCAGGAGGCTGAGGCAGGAGGATCGCTGTGAGTTCAAGACCAGCCTGGGCTACATAGTGAGTTCCAGGTCAGTCTCAACTACATAGTGAGACCCTGTCTCAAAACAAACAAACAAATAAATAATAAAATCAAATCAAATACAATGATATAAAGGATTTGTACATATTAGCCCAGTCAAAAATCCATAAATTTGATGAACCTGCTTCTGTGTGTGGAGAGGGGAATTCACAGACAAGACACATTAGAGAGGTCCCATGTGAACATAGCATTTATTTCTGAAATTACTAGTGAGTTTTCTTTTCTTCTAATTTTTTCCCTGTCTTCCAAACACTCTATCTATGGTGAGGATGTATTCCTTTCCTAACAACAAGAGTTAAGTTTCATCAGAGCTCATTCTGAGTCATTATAAATCTGGTTTCATTTTTCCAGGGTTACAAAGAGAAGAATAAGTTCATAGCAGCTCAAGGTAAGCTTTTTATTAAGTTAATTTCTGAACATTATTTCAGTAAAATATTGTGAATTCCTATCTGATAACAATAGCCGGATTTTGTATTACTTTTTTTATATGTATGCGTGTACTGCTGTTTGCTCTAATTCATGTTAGAGACTTATCGCACAGTAGATGTGTGTAGACAGACAGACAGACAGACACACACACACACACACACACACACACACACACACACACACACACACACACACACACACACACACACACCTGTTTCCACCCCTGCATGATTTACGCAGAGGTTGCACAGTGGTCCACTGGCATCTTGATCTTTGCCTTCATCATTAGACAACCTTGACTTTTCTCAGCTGGCCCAGGTCTATGCGGCTCTCAAGTTTTAGGAGCACGGGGGTGGGCAGCTTTGTAGATCAAGGCCATGGACAAGAGGCTTCGGCAGCAGACATGTCCTGAACCTCATTTCTCCAGGCAGTGGCCTCCTCCACCGGGGTGGAGGCGCCTTCCCAAGGAACCTGTGCTGTGCATGGTTAGTCATCTGGTCACAAACTGAGCTAGACAAGAACCAAATCAGGTTCCTCTGCTTCCTCCTCTTAGGCCAAGAGTCTATATAAGCAAGTCCCAAAATCATTGTCTATCAACATCACCTGGAGAGTTAGTTACAAATCCAGGTTCTCTGAGAGATAGAGAAACCACGTATACATGTATATGCGGGAGACATCAGGAACAATCCCCCCCGCTATAAATGTGGGAAAACATGACAAATGTTGGCTGAAATGGAGAAAAGCATATTTTTGGTTGTAAGCAGCTATATAAGGGGAGGCAGGCAAAGCCAGGCACCAAGTTCAAGAGAGAAACTGCCCCTTTCTCCATAGCATGGAGCTCTTAGCCTCAGGATCTCAAAGGGCTGTTGCAACTCCAGACATTGTGTTTGTGTTGGAACAGGAAGTACACAAGGAGCAAAGGAATTTCTTCCAGGGATTCTCGAACTTTTGCTCAGATTCCATCCCCAGGGACTTCAGCTCACATCTTATTGGAGAACACTATGCCGAGAAATTATTTTGACGAAGAGAAGGGGGTCAGAAATGGAGAGTGAATCATCAGCCTGTAGTCTCTCTCTCTCTCTCTCTCTCTCTGTCTCTCTCTACACACACACACACACACACACACACACCTTCTGATTCAGCGATTCTGGAGGGGCCTACTATTTTGAGACATAAGCAAGCCACTTTGACACACAGTATTAGACACAGCCCTCGTCTGAATACCCCTTTTCTTGCCCATGAATGCAGTAGACTTGTGCCCAACTGCTCAGCTGGTCTCCTACTAGCAGGAAAGGCCCAGGCCCCTGCTAGCAGTGGGATCTCAGGGCCTCAGGTGCCCCACGGGCCAGTCTTGGGCCTCAGGGAAGGATTGAGAAGCCCTTTGGGCCCAGACAGGGTGCTGGGTTAGGTCTTTTGAGACTTCTGGTGCCCTTGACTGTGGACTCCCTTCTAAAAATAGGCCCTAAACAGGAGACTGTGAATGACTTCTGGAGAATGGTTTGGGAGCAGAAGTCTGCCACCATCGTCATGCTAACAAACCTGAAAGAGAGAAAAGAGGTAAGTCCCTCCTACCTCCGCCCCTGAGGCCCTTCCCTTCGGGCTGCTGCTTAGCTGGAGGGCTCTGACCACTTCCTTTGCCTATTTCTCTTCCTTCCAGTAGTGCAGGGAAAAAAAGCACCCAGTAGCCCACACCACTTGTATCGAAATAAATTCTGTGGTCCTCATACCTCACTGTCTCATGGTACCGCGTGTCAGCAGTGGTCGCCCTAGCTGGCTTATGCCTCTTCCACTGCTGGGGGAAGCCAGGGACTTCAGAATTGAGATTTTTAATGTGTTAGGAATAGAACATAGTGGATCTCAGACTATGAATGAACACAACCACATGTTTATCATCCAGACTAGAGCGATGCTCTTGTGTACATTACCCAGGATGGAAACATTGATAAAGAAGACGCATTGAACTGCTCCCATACCTCTCAGAACAGCTACACGTTAGCATCCATTGTACGAGGCCAGCTCTGTTCAAGAAGCCAGTATAGGAGTCCTGATGCCAGGTGGAGAAGGAGGGACAGTCGAAAATCTTGGAAACTTGGAGCAATAAACAGGATCTGGTGTCAGTAGTGAATTGTTCTCCAAGCAAAAGAATTGGGAGTCGAGGGAGGCTTTTAAGGGTGGGGAAATGGAGGTGGGACACTGTTTACAGCATGTTCCAGGGTGCAGATCCCACTTGGCAGGAGATGTCTGTCCTACCCAGCCCCTGTCTAGGACTCTTGGGCATAAGAGGTGCTGGCCCAGCCCTTAGCAGTGCCCAGTGGGGCTGAGGGCTCTGGGTGGGACTGCAGTTTGAAGATGGAAGTGCCAGGTCTTAGGGATAGGGAGTCCAGTCCACAGGAAGGGCGGGGGGCAGGACTGCTTCTACTGCCACCTCACTAACGGGTTCCATACCGAAAAGCACAGGGAAAGTCTCCAGCCATTGGTTCTGGTCTTCTGGTTGGTCAAGGATGGGGCTTTTGTTTGATTACTGAGGAACAGGACCAGGGAGGGTCACAACTTGTCCCTGTATGACTGTCCCCCTTGTCATCAGAAGAGTGACAGGAAAGAAGCCGTGGGGATTCTGGAGCACAGGACACATAACCTTTCCTCCACTGGAGTGCTGGGGGGAGGAACCACACTGTAGAGGGGCAGGCCGGCCCCCGCCAGGGCCCTCCACATCCCTGTGACTGATGTCCCACAGAGACCAGGCTTCCCAAAGGCTGCTTCTGCAAATGTGAAGGGTGAGACCGTGCAGCAGCCTGGGCCTGAGCACGCCCCCATGTCCCCCAGCATGCTGTAAGCACATTACACGGCATTTCTCCCCGCTTTCCTCCATCGCCTCCTACAGTGATTTTCCATTCTAATGACTCAGTGCTGCCTGAAGCGCCTCTCAGCTTCCACCATTTCAGATGAAATCATTTCTCAAGAGAGTTCCCCTTTTCTTAATGGCTTACATTTCAGTCATGGTCTCCTTGGTGTCCACATCCTGGATAGCATATTGTGAAACATAGCTGGCACCTTGTGATTTGATGGGGGAAGGGGAAGAGACAGCCACACAGAGCCCACTCATCCCTGCCTGACCTTTCAGGGCCAGAATTGCAGAGGGTCCCCAGGGCCCCCATGGGGCCCAGACTTACCTAAACCAGGATCTTTGGGTGTCTCCTGGCTGGTGCAGAGACACACACCCCTCCGTGAACAGCAGGCCGGCGGGGGCCAGGATGTGGGGGAGTATTTGGTTTCATGAATGTCATCATACAAAGCTGCTGGTCTCTGGCAAATTCCCGGGCCCTTTTTTGCTTTACAAGTTTAGAGATCCTGGGAACCTGACCATTTAGCTGTGCCACTCTGGGGCCATTTCCAAGACCAATTGTTGAATGCCTAGAAGGCTTCTGAAACCCTAGGGATTTCCAGAGGGAATATCGAGCAGATCCTGTCCCCCTTGAGAGGGTCCTCATTCATTTATGTGTTCCGTGCTGATAGATGACTCGCTATAAGGTAGGTGCTAGTGTACCAGAAAATACAAGGGCAAAGACAAGACCCATTTCAGACGGTGAAAAGGGAAAGGAACAGCCTCTCCGTGACAAAGTGCCATCTGCAGAGTCCCACGCGAGCCTCTTCCTTGTCAGAGGAGGACAGGGCTCATTAGCTTGACTCAGGCCACTCTTGATCGGGGGTCTGGCAGTGCTGCAGTCACCACTGGTCCTTATCAATGGAGCAGAAAGAAATAGGATTGGTGTGTGAATATTCTGCAACAATGCATAAGATTCTAATAAGATTACTGACATTTAGAAATTTGAAGAAAGGAGCTAAAGGTGTAGGGAAGGTGTGATGCGTAGGGGAAGAACAAAAAGGGAAAAGAAAAAAATGTGAGAGAATGAAAAGATGAAAATAAAGTGTTTGTAGATGGGGAGGGGAGGAGGGGGTGAAGGGAGGGCAGAGGTAAGGGGAAAAAATGAGAACCAAGACTTGTCATGTAGAGGTACATGATCCCAACAATGAATGTAACTGTACCGTATCCCTAAAATGTACCAATAAACTCAATAAAATTAAAAAAAAAAAAAGAAAAGAAATAGGATTGCTGAGTCCCACGGGAAGTGTCTGGCAAAGTGGGAGTGGCTGAGCCTCACTCCAGCCTGACTGTCATTCCAGGTTAGGGTCCCCGGCTACGAGGGGAGTGGGCACAGCATCGACAGTTCAATGGAATATGTGGGATTAATGAGTGAGTAGATTAATGAGACGACACTGGGTTGAAATCAGAAAGCCCAGTCCTACCCATGGTCTTGGGGCCGTCATTAACCAGCAGCGTGGCCTCACTCTCCCCATCTGTGAAGGATATGTGCTTGTCCAAAGGCTGTCTCAGTTCTGGGAGCTGTTGACTCCACTGGTCCATGAGAGCCCTTCTGTGGATGGAGGGGGCAGGGGTACTAGGCATGGTGTGGAGCGAGAAACACACTCACAGATGGATTTGTGTCTATAAATTGTTGCATTCAGGAAAAGTGCTATCAGTACTGGCCTGACCAGGGATGCTGGACCTACGGAAACATCCGGGTGTGCGTGGAAGACTGTGTGGTGTTGGTGGACTACACCATCCGGAAGTTCTGCATACAGTCCGTAAGCATTTCCCACTGGTGACCTCCCCGGGGTGTTATTCTTTGAAAGCACATGGTTGGGGCTGAGTCCTCTCTATATGTTGCAGTATGAAAAGCTGGGCAGTGGTTGGAGGGCAGGAGCATGTGGCCAGGCTGAGACAGGGTTGTCAGCCCAGAACCTGATTCAGCCAGAAGCTCCTGCTCCCAGGGACTGCTTTGAGCTTCCCCAAGGGGAATAGGACAGTGGGGACAGGGAACCAGCCCCTCTTGGGAGCATGATATCACTTCACAACTGGAATTGTGAGGCCGAATTTTTTAAATAGTTTTGAAATTAGGTCTGAGATCTCCTCATTTTTCACACTATTTATTGCTAATTCCCCATGAAAGGACTTTAGGAAGATTCCAACAAAAATGCCTATAAACAAGGCCGATGAGATGCAGATGTAAAAGATATTTTGAAACCATGGTAAAAATGAAAGGTCATTTTATCAGAAATCAGAGACAGAGTGGTGTAATTAGATTGCAAAATATGAGGCCGAAGTTCCTAGAAGCCACAGAACAAACGGGGGGAGGCGACTCTTGTTGTTGCTATTATCCCAGTTGCTTCTCTCCTGGACATGCATGCACATCCATGCAGCCACATGCACTCAGACATGCACACACATGCACACAAATACATTTCCAAATACGCTGCTGATGATCTGCCAAGTGTGGGTCAGATGAACAGACTCATGGGCTCTGGGTCATGAAAGCTAAGAGAGCCTCTGGGAAAGGGCTGGGGGACTGCAGTGGTAGGCAAATCCCATCATCTTTTCTCCCCAAATTAAAACACTGTGAGGGAGAGAAGGGATGAGCTGTTGCTAATCACTCAGGACCAGGGAGTAAAGTGGGACTGTCCAAGCAGAGCAGAGCAGGGCATCTCCTAATAGGTGGGTCCCTGGGAATTGGGGCTGGCTTTAGCATGCTGAGCTACTCAGGATTTGCTTGATATAGGAGTGGCCAGGTGCTCGTGGTCCCGCCCTGTGCTCTCTGCTAGAAGAGCCCGTGGTGTCCAGTCCTTAGCCAGCAGCAGAGACCAAAGAGCTCTGTCTCAGGCATCCCACACATCGATAGACATTGACCCCCACATGAGCCCCCCTGCCACCACCTGGCTGGCACTGTTGAGCACAGGTGGGCATCCTCAAAATGGGCAGTGGTGAGGGCCGTCCCGTGTGTCCCCTCCCGTCTCTCTGCCACAGCTTCCCGACAGCTGCAAGGCACCACGGCTCGTCTCACAGCTGCACTTCACGAGCTGGCCCGACTTTGGGGTGCCCTTCACCCCCATCGGGATGCTGAAGTTCTTGAAGAAAGTGCGGGTACTCAACCCCTCCCACGCTGGGCCCATCGTGGTCCACTGCAGGTATGTCTGGGAGTGGGCAGGAGCTAGGGGTGGGCCCAGTGAGAGAATAGCCAATGGACTCATACTGAGATGGGCAGAGGTGCAGAAGGAGAAGTGGACACAGATGTGAGTTTCTTGAGGCGCAGCTCAGATTGCCCTGCAAAGTGAGCCAGAGGGAGAGAGGCCCTGAGCTTCCCTGGAGCACATGCTATAGTAGCAGAGCCCCCTCCCAGTGGCGTATGGGGAAGAACCCTAAAAGCAAAACTGACCAGCTCAGAAAGGCCAGGGTACATGGTAGGAGCAGAGCTCTGGGCAATTTGGCCTTGCCAGGGATCCCTGGGGCTCCTCAATTCCCACATGAAGGATACTCACCTTTAGCAGGGCACAGTTATACCAGCCATACCAGGAAGAAACTGTTTGGTAGTACAGAAAAAAGTATCCACGCAGCCTCATATAACTGCTTACTGTCAAGTTCCTCCAAAGCGGAAGTCTGAGATCATTTACTGGTGTTGCAGCACCCTCTGGTGGCCTCTCTTAGACTTGCTTCTTGTTCACCAAAGTAAAGTTTCGTTGAGTAATTTTGAGAAAGGCCAGGTACTCCATCCTGGCTTTAGGGATTCTTTCCAGCCTCTGTCACTTACTTCAGGGGAGTGTGACACACAGAATGACATCTGTCTTCTTTCCCAAAGCGCGGGTGTGGGCCGGACAGGCACCTTCATCGTGATCGATGCCATGATGGACATGATACACTCAGAGCAGAAAGTGGATGTCTTTGAATTCGTGTCACAAATCCGCAACCAGCGCCCTCAGATGGTCCAAACGGATGTGAGTGATGCCTCCTCCAACCCTGGTCTGAGCTTCACAAAGAAACCCAGGCACGTGGGATTCAGCCTTTCCGTGGGCCCTGGTTTTGATAGGTGCATAGCCATAGGCCGTGAACAAGTGAGCTCCGACGTCAGACCTGGCTTCCCTCCTCTTCTGTCTGTTCCTCCCCAGGGACCTTCAGGGAATGTTTCCCTCATACATTCTGTGGGTGGTTTTGTTATCGCCCAGGATGGTGCCAGGCATCCTCAGTAAACACCAGCTGCTGCCATCTCTACTGGAGAGCCTAAACGGCCAATCCACATGACCACTGATCTGACTTTTGCCCTTAACCCTCCTCCCCGTTGTCAAAAAGAGAAGACAGCAGCCCTCTTGGCCCCAGGCAGAGTCGAAGGTGGGGTGCCCTATGTCCTGCAGGTGCAGTACACATTCATCTACCAAGCCTTACTGGAGTATTACCTCTATGGGGACACGGAGCTGGACGTGTCCTCCCTGGAGAGGCACCTGCAGAGCCTGCATGGCACCACCACGCACTTCAACAAGATCGGGCTGGAGGAGGAGTTCAGGGTGAGTGCCCGCATGGCTTCCTCTATGTCCTGGGTGGGTGAGCAGAAGAAAGGGGAAACAGCAACTGTTCAAATGAAACCTCTTTCAATCACCTACCCTCCCTACTGACCCCAGAAGATGTTGGGCTGTGACTTTGGAGGGAAGAATAATCGGGGCTGGTAGGTTTATGAGTGCGGGCACCATTCATTTCTTATCATGGAGGCAGCTTTGTGAGACAGATATGTGTGCTTTTTTTTTTTTAAACTGTGATTTGACTCAGTGCTTAGCTACATTCCCTTTTTTAACTTCTTATTTTAAGACAGGGTCTCACTAAATCACTGAGTTACCCAAACTGGGCTTGAACTTATGATCCTGCCTTGAGCTCCCAGAGTGCTGGGGTTACAGGTGTGCACCAACCATGCTGACTGAGCACAGGATCCCTTTGCAGTTTGCATAGGGCCCTGCCGGTAGGACTGGCACAGAGCTGAGTGCTTTGTTCAGGGGCTTTAGAGTTTTGACTACTCACTGTGCTCTTCTCACCTAAAGAAACTGACCAATGTCCGGATCATGAAGGAGAACATGAGGACGGGAAACTTGCCAGCCAACATGAAGAAGGCCAGGGTCATCCAGATCATCCCATGTAAGGCAGCACTGGGCTGAGGTCTCCACCCTTCGAGGTGGGCAGGGTGGGGCTGGATGCTGTAGACGTTCAGACAGTGGGAGGACACTGTGCTCTGTAAAACAGCGTCAGGTACAAGCGCCCCTCAGGGCCTACCTCGGCTCCCGGCTGGATGTCAGGAAAAGAAAATCCTCTTGGAGCACCGGGTGACCCAGCCAGTCTCACATGGGTCTCAGACAGGCAGCCTGGGGGAAGGCAGCATAGAGGACTGCTGGATGGGCTCCACGGAAGCCTGGAGATTTGCCTCAGGCATGACCTGGTACCTGATTCTGTGACTCATCCAGTGCCCGCTTACACAGAGGTGAGAATGAGGGATGTGGCTGAGGCCATGCAGTGGCAAGGAGTTAGGTCAGACCTGAAGTGAACACAGGTGAACCTTCTAAGAGAAGACTCGTGCCTCAAAGAGGGCAAGACATGGGCTGGACTGGAGCCGGGACTCTGGCCTGCCACCAAAGTCGTGAGGAAAGGAGCAGAGGCCAGCAAGGAGGCAGGAATTCATATCTGGGGTCTCACCCCATGGGAAAAGAGAAACGTGCACAAAAAAAATGAACTGAGAAGGGATTGGGAGAGCGCCCAGCTTGGAGAGAAGAGGCTGAGCCGTATCACAAACAATGTGTCCACAATGGGGTCAGCAGATCCTCTCTATGGCCAAGTAGCTGCATGCTGGCTTGCTCTCTCTACTGTCACCTGTGCTATAGGCAGCAGACAAATCTTTTTTAGCCCCAGACCCTGGATTCTCTGTGACCATGTTGTCCTCAGCCCTGCAGGTCCAGCACCGTGTGGGTCATACTCTTTTTTATTCCTTGAATACAGTGTTTTAAAATGAGAAGTAAAAACTATAACTGGATTGTTTTCAGAGCTTTCCAACAAAAGAAAAATCTTTCCTGAGTTGTTTTCTCAGCCTATAGCATACACTTCCTAAAGAGTTAACTTTGCCTGATTTCATTGATAGACTTTATATTTTGGAAGATTGGAGCAACAGGTTAAGGTTTGCAAAACAGGAGGGCTGGGGGTGTAGCTCAGTAGTGCAGGACTTGCCTAGTGTAGCTGGTCCTGGTTCCAACTCCAGCCTCCCTGAAACAACATTTTGCAAGCCTGGATTGTACCTGTACTAACTATGGAAAATGCCACTTTGCAGATGACTTCAACAGAGTGATCCTTTCCATGAAAAGGGGTCAAGAATATACAGACTATATCAACGCATCCTTCATAGACGTACGTATCTTGGCCGTGAGTGTGTTTTGTGCAACGTGTGTCTCCTTCCTGTATGATCACAACAGGAAGAATTGACACTTCATCAGCAACACTTCCATTAGAAGAGTCACTTGCTTCAAAAATAAATAGATAGTGAATCTTGGAAATAGGACAGATTCAGTCCAAGTAATCGGCTATTTTCTTTTTCTCTGCTTTTGGCAGCTGTTACACACACTCATACATCCAGGGCTTCTGTGCGCTCCCCACTCTGTGATTTCTGTGACTTGTATGCATAGGATGACATAATTGTGTTTTGGCCGAACAGGCAGCCTGTCTTACTGCACACTGAAGTCAGCAGAAAAACAGGAACAGAAGAACTTTGTAGCCAAGTGCATGTTAATGCTTGCATTTGCAGTGGAGGAAACTGCTGCCCCAGACAGCGTGGTAGCATCAAAGCCACAGGGGGCTGTTGGGATGGCCACAGTAACTGGTAATTTACAGTGCCTCTTGGCGAGGACCTTGAGTACTGAAAATGTGGGTACACACCACACTTGCTCGACCAAAGTGAGCATCCTGCACTGCTTCTCGGGTGTGATGGGGGTGCGTGTGTGTGCACATGCGTGCCAGCTGGGCATTGCTTCAGGCATGGACGATCGCCACGTCCCTCCTCAGGCCTTGTGCTGTCCTAAACACACGTGGCAGGTGGTGGCACTGGAGGAAAGGAAATCCACCCCTAACCTCTGCTCTCCTTCCGAAGGGTTACCGACAGAAGGACTACTTCATCGCCACCCAGGGCCCACTGGCCCACACTGTCGAGGACTTCTGGAGGATGGTCTGGGAGTGGAAGTGTCACACGATCGTGATGCTGACGGAGGTGCAGGAGCGAGAGCAGGTGAGTGGCACCGCCATGCTCGGGTCCTCCAGGGCCGCTGCTCAGGAAGGACCCTGTCTCGGCTGCTGGGGTCCTGCAAACACACTGGTGAGGCCCAGCCAGGATGGCTGAGGAGGGAGAGGCTGGGAGAGGAAAAGGTTTTATCTCACCCTTCGCTTTCTTTGTGGGAGGATTAGGTTTGGGGGAAGTGATTAACCGTGTTTGCCTACTTAGCCCACATTTAATTTCTGCCGTTTTGTATCTGTCACTACCACAACCTATCAAAAAAAAAGGGACATTTATTTACTCTCTCTAAGATATGAAGACATTGACGTGGGTACCTAGCTAATATTCTCTTCAAATTAATAGGTCCTATGTTATTTTTTTCCTAGAAATCCATCTGTGAACTTTTTTAATAACATAGTAAACACTTGCAAACCCACCAACAGAGAAACCTTAGTTTTATCAATAATGTACACCTATCCAGCTCCCCTAAGATATGACCACTCCCCTGAGTTTGTGTTTTTATTTCTTTGCTTTAAAACATTAGTTTAGCCATGCATGGTGTTGTATACCTATGATCCTAGCTCCGTGGGAGGCTGAGGCAGGAGGATCACAAATTCAAGGCCAGCATGATTAACTTAGCAAGACCCTGTTTCAAAATAAAAAAATGAATAGATTTCTTGAAATACGATTAACCTACCAGATTACTCAACTTTTTAAAGGGTACAATTCAGTGGGTTCTTGTAATATTCAGAGTTGGATAACCACCTCCTCCATTTCCAGATTGCTTTCTTCACCTCAAAAAGAAACCATGCCATCAACAGTCACTTCCCTTCCTCCCTTCCCCCAGCCCCAGCTATCATTAATGTACTTTCTGACTGTGATGTGACTTTGCCTATTCCATACATTAATATAAGTGGACTCATATAATGCTTGTATGTGGTATTTTGGAAGTGAGAATCATTTACTTGGAGCTATGATTTCAGGGTTCATCAACATTGTAGCATGAAAACGTACTTCATTCTTTTTTGTTGACAAATAGCATCACATTGTAAGAATGCACGATTTTCATTTATCCAGTCTTCAGTTGATGGGCCTTTCTGTCATTTCTGCTTTGGAGCAGTTGTGAGTAATGTTACTGTGGACATTCCTGAACAAGTTGTGTGTGGCCTGGTTTTCTTTTTTCTTTTTCCTTTTTCATTTCTCTTGGGTACATACCTGGCTCATCTCATGACTGTATTATGAACTTTAGTTACTTAATATTTTTGAGAAACAGACTAGCAACCTCGTTTTATATTACTACTAGCAATGTACAAGTATTCTAATTTTATATAAAGAGCATAGTTATAGTGTAGAATCTTTTGAGACTTGAGTTTTTTCCACTCAGAATTGTGTTTTTGATGTTTTTCTATGTTGATGTCTGTAACTGCAATCCATTCGTCACCATTATTTCAGTATTTTCCCTTATACAAATCATGCATCCTGTATCCACTTATTTATCCCTTCTCCTGCCATTTGGGTTGAGCATTTGCATTGATTTTACTTTGTTGTTTTACAAACAGGGATCCTTGTACCTTCTTGTACATGTCTTATGATGCATAAGCGTTAGTATGTACCAAAGAGACAAAATATCACATTGGAGAATATGTGAAAGTATGATTTTGCAAGGTAATTCCTAATTGTTTTCTAAAGAGATTTCCATGCCTTCCTTGAAAGCATAAGGTCCCGAGCTCAATCCCCAGTGCCACACACACACACACACACACACACACACACACACACACACAAAAGAACAGAAACAAAACTAATAGGCAGGGGGTTTGGCTCAGTGGTGCCACCACCTGCCTCATAAGCACAAGGGCCTGAGTTTGATCCCCAGTACCAAAAAAAAAAAACTTCAGAAATGTGTGAGATAATCATACACTGATGCACCTAATACGCTCAGGATCCTGGGTTTTATCATTGAAATAGATGCAGATATCTCTCTGTGGCTTTGATCTGCATCTCTCTGATTTCTACAAGGTAGAACATCACTTTGTATATCCATGGGTGGCTTATCTCCTCTTTTGTAAATGCCTGTTCCTGCTTTTCACTCATTTTTCTACTGAGCTGTTTGCCCTTATTGATTTATAGGCCTTCTTTACATATTTTTGACACTCATCTGGTGTGGACTTTGTGCACTGCAAACAACTTATTGCAGTTTCTGGACCATATTCTCACTCTTTCAGTGATACTTGTTGGTGAACAGAAGTTAATTTTATTGTCGGCTGATTCTGATGCATCATAATTAGTTATCAGTGTCTCAAAATTAGCACTTTAGTATCTTACTTAGTAAATCCTTATGCTCTGTAAAGTGAAAGAATGGTTTCTTCTGAGGGTTTCATAGTCTTGTTCTTGGTTTTAAAGTCTCAACACATCTGGGTTTGTTTCTATTCAGGTTCAAGGCTGCTACAGGTAGTAGAGCAGTCCATATGCACTTAAATCTAGGAGAAGCTGGAGCATTCTTATCCATTCTGTAAGCTTCAGGATTCCATTTACTGAGTTATCTCCCCTTTCTATCATGTAGTCAAGTTTTGTGACTGTTTCTAAAAAGGTCTAATCTGTGACCTTGTTCAGTAGGCATTCATGGATATTTATACTCATATTCATATATTATTTTCTAGTCAGATGAAATAGATTAAATGGTTTGAGAGCTACTCTACATCATAAGGTCAAAAGTAATTACAAGTTATGACACTTAGAATTTTATCTTTCCTCTAAGGATAAATGCTACCAGTATTGGCCAACAGAGGGCTCAGTTACTCACGGAGAAATAACAATTGAAATAAAAAGTGACACCCTTTCTGAAGCCATCAGTGTACGAGACTTCCTGGTGACCTTCAGTCAGGTATTGTTGCAGTCGATTTTTAAATTCTAGTAAACCTAGTCAAACACCATCACTCCAGGAGCTGCTTGTCACTGTGCCGGAATGGGAGCTTGTTCCTGTCCCGTGTCAGACTCCAACTACCTTTTCCTGAGTCCCAGATTACCATGAATGGATGATGGATTACCCAGTGGCAGAATGCCTATAAAACTAGATCTCTGTGGTCACTGGTCTCCTACCTGGGAAAAGGATGACAGGGCAGAGAGGCTGGCCCATCCCACTTCGCTTTCACCCACAAACCCCAAGGAAGGAAGACCATAACAGGGGCAGGAGATACAAAGGGGAAGGCTGCAGAGGCTTCTTGGGGCCCTCTTTCAGGGGCTTTCTCAGAACTCTCAGCTGTCCCTGTCCCCGCTGAGTCCTAGGCTCTGATCACCCTGACCAAAGTGGGAACTCGGGAACTCGTCACTCAGGGTTGTGACTGTGCTGTGTTTAAGATGGTCAATCCAGGAAAGCTGAACTGGTGCAAAGACTGGCTGTCTTCCAGGCCAGTAATAGAAGGACCCACCCACTAGACTCATCTTCAGGCCAGTGGAAAATGCAAGGCCTGGCTTCCTGAGAGAATAATTCCTTTCTCTGGAGCATGGCTGCCAGGATGCAGTAGAGGGTTGGGCAGGATTTGATTGGCATCCAGGGCATATCCTCCAGATGTCTTGACCCAGGCAGAAGGAAGCACAGCCAACTACTAGGTAGGCCCCTCTGTGATTAGGTGGTGACAGTGGGGGGCTCAGAAGGACCGAGGAGGGCTCTGAGGCCAGGCCCTGATCCACAGGAGGGAGGGTGGATCCCTGGCAGGGGGAAGGTCAGCATCACTGAAAGCCATCTCCCACAGCAACCACTGACCCGCCAGGAGGAGCAGGCCCGCATGGTACGCCAATTTCATTTCCATGGTTGGCCGGAGATCGGGATCCCAGCTGAAGGCAAAGGCATGATTGACCTCATTGCAGCTGTGCAGAAGCAGCAGCAACAGACCGGCAACCACCCTATCACTGTGCACTGCAGGTGAGTGGCCCACTGCCGGCCAGGGGCTCTCTCCATGTGAGGCAGCGCAGACCACACACAGGTAAGGGAGACAGAGATGGGTTGCTGCTCCCAATAACATGATTTCCCTAGAAATCTGTGTCACCTTCCCAGACACGCATGCACACATAACTTCACATAAATGCATGAGTCAGGTCATTTCATCATAAGTGTGGCAAAAGAACCCAGACACTCATTTCTACACCCAGACAAACACCCATTTCCACTTGCTGTTGAAGGCTTCCAAACTCCTTGAGTAGGTCAAGTTGCTTGCCTCCACTCTGCAAGTTGTATTTCTAGATGCTGTGTCCACACTTTGTGGTCTCTCTTCTGGGCCTGGGAAAGGAGATTCTTCAGCTGAAAAACCACCTGGGGTGACTCTCCCAGGACCATGGTTGGGGCATGGTTGAGGTCCAGGCTCAGATTGCTAACAGAGGCCTGTAGCCACAAGTCAAGTGTGAGGGCAGAGAGACAATCTCAAAGCCACAGTGACTACCCCCAGCAAGAACCATGATAAGCATCGTAAGGAGGGCAGGAGAGTGAGTCGCAGATTCGAAGCCTCAGCTCCCCTTTTCTCCCTCCCTGTGCAGTTTCCAGCTGTGCCAGCGCCCCCTGCTGGGAAAGGGCCCCTGGAAAGAGTCATGGGAACCTAGTGCCTGCTGTCTTAATAGCGTTTCAGGGCCACCAGTTAGCATCATCTATTCCAGAAGACAGGTGCCAGGGTCAGCTCCTCACTGGACCTGACCCAGGAGGGTCATTTCTAACCGGTCCTAGGTGACGCTGACCCTGCTGCTTCTAGGACCACACTTTGGGAACCATTCATTGGTACACACAGGGGAGAGAGAACGTGCTTAAAATCCTGTAACTGGTCCCAATCCATTTCATGAAATATCAGACCACTATATTGAGGGAAATGCTTTTGAATTTTATGGTTGCTGGACCTTGCTCAGAAACTAAGCTATAGATAAATGGTCACAAAACATCCAGTCAAATGGATTCTTTGCAATGATCCTGCTTCAATACCAACATGCACGGAGCTGTTTATAAGTTGCGTTTCTTACCCCATTGGTTTGATGGTTCTCACTGAGTGCTTTCTCTCCACAGTGCTGGAGCTGGACGAACAGGTACATTCATTGCCCTCAGCAACATTTTGGAACGTGTAAAAGCTGAGGGACTTCTAGATGTATTTCAAGCTGTGAAGAGCTTACGACTTCAGAGGCCGCACATGGTGCAAACCCTGGTAAGAACGTGAACTTTAAGGAAGTCTCCAGAAGGGTTGAGAATTGTTTCATGTTTTTGATTCCTCATTAAAGGTGCTCCAGTGTAAGGGGCAGGAGGGAGGGTCCAATTCCCGAAGCAAAAAGCCACCTGCTAATTTTCATAGCAAAGGGACAGACCTAGATCTTTCTTTAGGTCTCTGACTCAGATCTGTCCTCTGGACAGACCTCATGGGAAAGGTCTCATTCATAAATTTCCATTGCATTTTTAAATGTACTGTACTTTTTATCAGGTTCAAAAGCAGCACTGAAGCTTAAAATCCTAGTACTTGTCATTTTCAACTTTACACCTTTGCATTTGGTCTATTTTCCTTGGTAGAATCTCACTCAACCTCAAAGCCTTGCCAGGGGGCATAGGAAGCCCACCTGATGTACAATTGCCCTACACATCCTCTTTCAATACCTGGATGCACACTTTCTGGGTTTAGAGATTGCTCCTCTCTAAAGTCAGCAATGGCTCATGCTAATCCCACAAGTGCAATATTTCAAGGCTGTTAGAGCTCATCATTTCCCCCACAGCATCATATTTGGAACTTACCCTCCCTTTCCAATCCTGCCTCAAACAGCCTGTGTGAAAAGGCAGGGAGGACGCCCTCTCACAAACCCCATCACAGCAGAGCTTAGATGCCAAAGAGAACACCTGAGCAAGGATGGGTCTGCCTTCCCACCAGGTAGGGCTAGCGTAGGGCTGTCCACCTTGGCTGCACGGCACTCACCTGGGGAGTGTTTACCTGTCTCCTAGTGCCTAAGCTTCACCTCAGACCAATTAAATGGGATCTGATCTCTGGGTTTGAGACCTAAGCATCAGGATACCTATTCCATGACAAGTCATCCCAAAGTGAATACAGGTTTGAGAGCCACTACACTGGAAGGGAATTGGGTACTTGCTGGCTCCCTCTCACTCTGGAAGTCTTTCTGCCCTGCCAGCTGTGACAGCGATAGGAATGTGAACCACTCACAGCAATGGGAAGGAAGGGGAATTAGGGCTCCTCACTGACCTTAGAGCCCTGGTCCTGGCACTGGGTTCCCTGTTAGGCTCTGAGAAGATGCTGGAGGAGACTGCTAGAGGTTATGCTGCCTCTTGACAGCAGCCAGTGCCAGCAAACTGAGCAGTGGTGGCAGATGACACCATGATGAGTTTTTAGATCAAAATATAATAGCATTGGGGCAGGGATTTGTCTCAGTGGTTCCGCCGCCTGCCTTGCAAGCACAAGGACCCGAGTTTGACCCCCAGTACCAAAAAATCAAAAAACAAAATATAATAGCAGCTGGGTTCAGTACACAGGTCTCTCATCCTAGCACTCTGGGAGACCAAGGCAGAAGGATCACAATTTTGAGGCCTGTCTAGGCCACTTATCTGAAAATCAAAAATTAAAAGGGCTGAGGACGTAGCTCAGTGGTAGAGTGGCCCTGGTACCACAAAGAAATAAAGAAAGACAAAAATAATAATAATAGTGCTTAAATATCACACAGAACCCTACTAGTAACTCCAACAAAAAGAAATCCAGTTTTCAATTGTGAGCCAGACTCTTTTCCATTTCTTTCTTATTTTTAATTCTTTTCTGAGCAGCCTTTAGTCCTGGCTAGGCAGCAATTAAATGCAAAAGAAAGGTAAGGCCAAGGCTCAAAATCCCATTGACTCAGGGTTCAGGATGTTATCTTGCCTTCACAGCTAGCCTCTTACAGCTTTGTGAACTGGGACAAGCTGTTTCCCCTCTCTGATCTTCAGTTGCTTTCTGTACAAATTGGAGCTGATGGGGCTTCCCTTTGAGGCACTGTGCAAAATTTCCTTTAAACTCTAAAAATGCCTGACCCCAGGACAGGTGCCTAGCAACTGCAGCAAGAGCATCTCTGAGATGGTTTGGTTGGGGCACTAACGGTTGTCATAATCTGCCTGATCTGGCCAGTGTATTCTCTCCAACATCATCCAATATCCAAGTCCCTTCCTGCCTCATCTCTGCCAGCTCTGGCCTCAGGTTCTCTCTCTCTGCTCCCTCGTGGAAGCTACCTGGCTTCAGTCTATGCTTTTCTTGCCTAGTGAAAACCCGATGGCATTCTTCAAGCTGAGTTTCAAGTCACCCTCTGGGCCTATTACACCCAGTGCATATTAAGAAAAGTGGAGAATTAGGGAACAAATGAGGGGAAATGAATCATTGACTAATGATTGCTGGGGCTGGGTACTTTATAGACATCTTTTGCATTATATGCTTACCATATCCCTGTGTTCACTTCTGCTCCCAAGAGCTGCTCAGGTCATCACCCATAGTTAAGCAGGTGGCCCAAGTTGCTCAGGAATTAAGTGCCAGAATGTGGTTTAAGCCCCGTCTGTCTGACTCAAGAACTGAAGGGCAAGGCTCTCTCAGCAGGGCATAAAGACTTCTCTGTGCTCCAGACCTCACACTTGGCAGGGATATTTTGATAAAGAGTACAGGGTATGATTCTGTGATTAGGTAAAGAGATGTGGTATGTGGTTGACTTAACTCATAGATGAGTGCAGTGGCTCACAGACCAATTTCCACTTGCTGACCACTGAGGGAAGACCTGTTTTCAACATCTGAGATATCACTCTGTTAGAACAAGCATTCCAAAGGCAAGAAGGTTGTTTGTCTTCCCAGAGCCCTGTGTGTTGGTAAGAAATGTCTGTCTGTGTCCTGTGTCATCCCAACACTTTGCCAAAACAAACTTTATTCATTACCAGCTGCAGGTAACACATATGCAAGACACAACATGGGTGGTTATCAGTTAGCACTTGTGTTTGCTGTGAAAACAGTCATCTCCATGAATAACCATTTCCATTTCTTTCCCAGATTGGGGTCAGCTTTGGCATTTAATTGATGTAGCTTTTAAATAGAAGCATTTACAATACTTGCTGCCATCAAGAAATCAAACAATAACAAATGTGGGTGGGATTGTGGGAAGAAAGGAACCCTTCTCCATTGTTGGTGGGAGTGCAGACTGGTGCAACCACTATGGAAATCAATATGGAGATACCTCAAAGAGCTGGGACTGGAGGTTCCATTTGACCCAGCCATCCCTCTGCCGGGTATCTTTCCAAAAGAATTAAAAGAATCATACCACAGTGATATATGCACACCTATGTTTATAGCGGCACAGTTTGTAATAGCTAAAACTTGGAAACAGCCCATTTACCCATCAGTGGGACACTGGATAAAAAAGATGTGGTTTTTCTATAAAATGTAATACTACTCAGCCATAAAGAATGATAAATTAGATTCATTCATAGAAAAATGGATACATATTGAGGATATAATCCTAGTGAAATAAATAAGTCACACATGTGTAAATACCCAGTAGTTTCTCTGGTGTGAAAAACTATAATGGTACATAAGATCCTAATGAGATAATTGACAATGTGAAATAGGAAGAAAAGGTCTAAAGGTGTAGGGAGAGTGGGAAGGGCAGGGAAAAGATAATAAGGGAAAAGAAAAAAATAGGAGAAAATGAAAAAATGGGAAATAAAGTGGTTGTAAATGGGGAGGGGAGGAGGGGGTGAAGGGAGGGCAGGGACAAAGTGAAAAAATGAGAACCAAGACCTGTCATGTAAAGGTACAAGATCCCAATGATGAATGTAACTGTACTGTATACTTAATATGTACCAATAAACTCAATGAGAGAAAAATACATAAATAGAAGTATTTAAATAGGAAAGGTCAAGTCAAAAGCCACTTTGTATAGCAAATACTTTAGGAGCATCATGACGATACTTGCCTCTTTATAGATTTATGAAAATTTTCTTCTGGAAATTTATTTTCCTCTTGCTTCGAAGGACTGGTGAATCGATGGGACGCTTATTAGGCCGAAGCAAGGACCCCTTAGTCTAGCCTTGTTTCTCTCAATAACTTCATGCTGTCACAGGTCCAGAGTTCCTAGTCCAACATTTCTTTCTCTAAAAAACCCTGTGTCGTCTTGGCCTGAGGCTTGTGAGAAGGCTGAAGAGGGTAATGTTCAGCATCTTTCAGCTTCAACCTTTTGACATTTGCTTATGTACAAGCAAATGTATGATGAAAAGGCTGAATTCGTTGTGTTGGGCAAGAAGAGGAGAGAGTGCTGAGGACTGTTCCCCGCCTTTCAAGCTTCCCGAGCCCTTCTCTCCGTTTCAAACGTCCCACTCGGGTCTGCCAGAAACCAGACTTTTAGATGTAAGAGGCAACTTAGCTGCTCTCCGTTGTTACTGGAACCTTTGGAGTCACTTTCCCGCCCACTGGCTGTTTTGCCCACTTGATTGTCCAAAGAATTACTGTCAGCTTTTCTGGAAAAGTTTGGCAACTGCTATTTTCCCCACGTCTTGCTTCCTTCTGATTGAGTGCCCTTTCTGAATGGGTGACACAGTGCTCACCCATGTGCCACTGGCCCCGCTTTGGTCCTCATGCAGCTTCTAGGAAAACAGAACAGATAATATGCACAAGTGTCATCACAACCGAAACGCCTTATATAAATAGAGGCAATTACTGAGGAGTCCACTAAATTTTATATAAAACCATATCTCTTTTTTAGAGAAAATTAAAGCTTCAAATATTCTAAAATTGTACTTTATTTAACATCTATACATTGCTTTTTGTTACATTATGAACTCTATTTGACAATGTAGTAATCTGATATTTTTCAGTTTAAATATATGAAAACTAAAGACTTTCTACTCAGACACTAATTTGAAACAAAACACTGACATTGTAGGAAAGCATCTTTACTTGGAACTTTTCATGTGACTAAAAATTAAATCATACAACAGAAGCTGATGTGCATGAAAACATATAGTGTTTTAATAAATAGGCAGAATTGTTTCTGTTTCTTTTGACTAAGTTAATCAAATATATTTTTGGACCATCGCCTTAATACATTCTTATTTTTCTTTCCAGGAACAGTATGAATTCTGCTACAAAGTGGTACAAGATTTTATTGATATATTTTCTGATTATGCTAATTTCAAATGAAGAGTCCTGCCTTAAAATATTTTTTAATTTAATGGTCAGTATATTTTGTAAAAATTATGTTAATTTATTTCATAGTTGACATTAATATCCTTCCTAATTTCTTTGTATATATTTTGTTAGGCTTTCAAAGCCACCTGCTGTAAAGTTATTCAATCTTAAAGTCCCTTTTTAAAAATTGGAATAATATATTAAGATCAAATAATACCCTGCAAAATCTATGTACTGTATTTCTGCTAATATCAGTTAAAATCTTAACTCTTCATTAGATTCATGTCATGTAGTATCACATTACACATCTCTAAATCTTGTAACTCTTAATATGCCAAGTGTGCTTAAGCAAGACACTAAACATAAAATCCATTGTTAAGAAAACAACCAAGAACTTAGAAATGGGTTGAAAACTCACTTTCCAGAACTGAGTTTATAACCTTGAGCTGCAGCATTTTTTGAAACCCAATGTAGATAGGAATGTTTTTGTAGCGGCCTCAGTTGCAGAGTTGTTTTAACTCTCCCTTTTAAGGATTGAAGACTTTCTAAAACCATATCTCTCTAACCTGAACCCAAGTCTAAAACACATTAGAGTAATCGGAGACTACTTCGTAATATTTTTAAAGGCTGTGTCTGTGCCATGTTGGTTAGATGAGAAGTGTAAATGCCAGGCCATCCCATTCACCTGTGGCCTTGGGCACAACAAAAACAGCCAGGGAAGCTGCACTCCCAGAGAGTCACTAGCCATCTGTCTCCCTTGGAGAATCCAACCACCACATTTTTCAGTCTCCCATTCAGCCCCAGGTGCCTGTGCTGGCCTCGAACCAGACCTGCAGGCTCAATGTGAAAACACCTCACATCCAAACATTCAAATGAAGTGTCTTACACACACACACGAAGTTGAGGAGCACACATTTGAGTAGAAACAGTGGGATGGCCACAAATAATCATGCTGTAAATTTTCTGAGAAGCATTTTGGTATTTAAAAATGTCTTGTAAAAAGCTGATTGTTTGTAAGAAAAGAAGTCTTAAAATCTAGATTTGTACAGTTTTTAAGGACCCCACTTCTCAATATTTAATAAAAGAGAAATAGAAATCTTTCATCTAAAGTCTAACTTATTTTTGGATGCTGAGATCTTTGACACTGGGTGATAATAATGATCCCATTACCAAAAGAACAGTGGGGGGAGTTAAGAAGATGAATGTAGAAACCTTCGATTTAATAACCATTGTCTTTCTATAGCTACTAGGTACCTAGTAGATGAGCACAATATAGAAAAAGAAGACATCTGGTCTAACTTACTACAGACATTGAACATGTGCAGTTTGGGTACTTTTTTTTTTTTTTTTACTTTTTAAAAGATATATAAAAAATAAAAGGCCTTATTTGACATTTCACTGAGACCTGATCATGCCCTCCTATTGCACTGTTTATCCCCTGTCTGTTCACAGTGTGTACAGGTGTGACCCCAAGTTCCATGACTGTCCTCACCAGGCTCCAGGTCAACGAGCTTCTCTCCTGCCCCTGCTCTGAGCCCCACCCAGGGTGGTAGTTGGTGTCCACTTGGAAGGACCAAAGCACACTCTGGCCGCCGCCATCACCACCAGCCACACCTTGGGCTCCCCATTGCTGAGTGCACCCTCTCTCTGTGCAGTGAATAAGCAGATGAAGGAGGAAGTAGAAGAAGCTTTTGTGCAACTTGCCAGTTGATTCCGTTTGTTTCCATTGTTGAAATACCAAACCCAAAGCCTTTCTTTGACTAAAGGAGAAGAGAGGAGAATATGTTTTCATTCAGCACCCGAAGCCCATTAGGGATGAAGTGATGTTAAACTGGTAGTTTTTTAGAGTTCGAAGTCAAAGAGCATGGAGTCAGCCCTAATTTTAGGAGTTGGTAGAATCCCTGAAGCCCTCCAATGGTCTGTCTGGCATCTCTTGTATCAAGAAGTGCCTTTATGGGTAGATCTTTGCAGGGTGTCCTGAGGAAAGTGTTCTGTTTGTGGTTTTCCTTTCCTCATCCACTGTGAGCATCCCAGGTATCCAGTGCAGAGGTTCTCCTTGCTCCCAAACTCATCCCATCCTGAAAACAAACAGAAGCCAGAATCAGGTGGATACATGGCCCCTTCCCCAGTCAGGGAGGTGGTCCCTGAGCGTCATGGTCGTGACCAAGGCCAAGTTCAGACAGTCTCTCTGTGCCTATAGAGAAGCTGTGTGCAGAGGGAATAATAACCAGGGGCATCTTCTCTGTGCAGTTGGCATGTTCTTCTCTTCTTCCTTCAGTCAAAGGAAGTCAAGTACATGTAACGCAACCGCCCAGCACTGGCAAGAACACTTCTCCTTTCACGTTCTCCTATTGCATGCAGTTGCATTCAAATGCCAAATAGTGATCAGAAGTTTACTGTTCTGATTGGGATACCCATCAGTCACTGTGTGACTTTACTCCTTCTCTCCATGTGCTAGAAGAATGAAGAATGCATACTGGTGTTTTCAAAGGTATTTTTATGTGTTTTTACAAACTTTTTAAAACAAACCTGATACCTGTGTGTCAGCATTTGGAGATTGTGCCCATGTTATTTTTGTTAATGTATTATTACTGATACAGTTCCATTTGTTTGATTAACTGAGCTGTATTTAATTTATGTGCAGTCTTTACAATATGTGTATGTATTACAGTTTCAACTGTCATATTTTCTTTTATTACATTTATAATTTGATCTTGTTCTGATTATAATGCCAGTGAATGTTGCTGAATTCTTTGTATATGCAAATTGCAAGATCTAAAATATTCTGATCCAAGGATAAATCTTTACTTTGACTACTAGCCTGCGTCTCCTTCTTGACATTTCCTTGTTTAATTTCCTGTACCTTAAATATGTTTAGACAAGACATGCAAGTGCACTTCAGTTTACAGCCCTTGAGGGAAGGAGCTCTGCCCACACGTGTTTTCAAACTTTGGTCCTCTAGAGCTGAGAGAGATTAAGATTTTGCTGCTTAAGCCACCCACTTTGTGGCTCTTCGTTGCCATAGCTTTGGCAAGCTAACACATCCCAAACACAGCCCAAGGTATCTGTCTTAGGGTTTATCCAAAGGAAAAGCCTGGAAAAAGGACCTGAGACCAGGTCGTTTAATTGAGAGCAGATCCCATGAGGCAGGGCTAAGAGGACAACAGCCACTGACAGCGGCACAACTAAGACCACTGCTGAGGTCTCAAAAGCCAAGACACCCAAGGGTCCCCCAAAACCATCTGGGTGAAGAACAGGATGCTGCAGTAGTGACCCAAAACTCCTGTCCCTGCCAACCCACCAGGGTCCAGGTTGTCTCCAGTGGCATCAGCTGCTCCCTGATAGATGTGTGACACACTTGCTTCTGAGCCTGCTGTCGATGAACTCAGAGAAGGGTTCAGGGGGTGGGATCAGGAACAAACAAGGCATCTGTTGAGGGCAGCAGGCTCCCAACCCTGGCCTCTAACTGCTCTCACATTGGATGTGCAGCTAAGTTTCAGTGGGGAGCAATGTGGGCCTCCGGGGTCCTGAGGCTATCTGCTGGAGTAGGGCAGGGCAGGGAGGGACACTTCAGGGTGCTGGACAGCCAGACCCCAACCGGGAAAGGGAGGAGTGATGGCTCACCTGGCCACCTCTACATCTGCTGCACTCCAGCCAGCTCTCCCTCAGCCCAAAGGATGAAGCAGCATCAGCAATACACGGATGGGCATGTATTTGCTACAAAAGTTCAAATCAAACAGAAATATACAAAGAGAATATACCATGTATGACCCCGGCCCTATACATAACTCCTCCCCCTTCTCAATCCACTGGTTACTTTGAGGCGCTTCCTCCAAAACACAACTGTCCACAGGTTTAAATTTTAGTTACAAAAACACAGACACAATTTGTTTTCGTTTGTAAGCACAAGTCAAGCTCCTGGTATCTCAACAAATCCAGGGTTGTAGTTGCCTAAAACACTACATTCTGCTAAAAAGGCAAAAACACTGCCAGTGATTCCTCGTACGATGTCACCAATTTGGAGAGTCCTCCCAATGCTATGAGGGTTCATATGGAAACATTTTATATCTTAGAAGTGGCTAAATAGGCTGCACATGAGAAGTTCTGAGAACTGCACCCATTCTGCCTTAAAATCTGGCGAAGTCTGCACTTGCAGAGCTTCCTCCTTCTGGGTGATGCTATCCAAAGAATAAATATAAGGAAGCCTGTGTGTAGCCACTTCCTCAATGATGATCATTAGCCTATTTCCTATTATGCACCTTTGTAATTCAACTTTTAGCACATGTGTATGTGCTCCTTATACATGTTTGCTCGCATGTACAAACTATTCCTTCGAGTGAGTTTCCTAGAAGCAGTTTCCAGGTCAAAGGGCATGTTCATTTTAAGCAGAAACTGCCAAATTGCTACCTCTGAAGGCTCTCGTCACCCATTCACTCACCTGCCTACAGTGTCATCTCTCTAGATATCCTTGATCCTGAATATGGATATTTGCAAACCTTCTGATTACTGCAAAACTGATTGTATATATTTTCCCCAAGTTGCTAGTGAACTGTCCATCTTTTCACACTTGTATTTCATCAGCGAGCTACCTATTTATTTATCCGTATTCCTAATTGTGTTGCTAAGCTTCTCCTTGTTTATTGTCATTCTTTTTAAAAATAGTAACCTTTGTTATTCACATCTTCAAATATCCTCTTTCAGTTCCTTTACCAAAGTATGATGATGAATACCTCTTGTTCCGGAAGTTGTCGTGGGTACCACATGACTTGCAGCTACTTTGGCACATCTGTGCAACATGTTATCACCTTAAATAAAACTTTGGACACCTTTCAGGGGTCAGATAAGGTTCAAAGAGGATTTCACACACTCCCTCACCCCAAGAGTTGGGAGGTCCAAGGAGCTGCATGCTTCTTGTAACCCAAGGTCTGTGTCAGTCTTGCTTGGGTGACAGCAGCCATTGCTGATATTCACTTTATCCAGGTGTGAGTTTCACATTTGATTCTGTTCTGGGTGTTGAGATCACATGACAATCCTCTCTTCCTGAAAGTAACACACACACACACACACACACTTGACCTTGGCAATATTACGAATCAATAAACTTTGTTTTCAAATGAACTGAAAAGCCCCAGATGTGAAAAATACTGTCATCTTTTGGGAGCCTATGTGCTACCTACCTTGCAGGAACATCCACAGGGCTCCTTTGGGGCAAAGAGAATTTTATAATTAAATGTTCCTATTGGTGTAGAGCATCAAACAGATACCAGCTCCTCTCTGCTCTGCACCAAGGAAAGTTTCTTCAGGACAGGGTTGGAATGTCTCAGACCACAGGGCACTGCCAGGAACACCACGCCTGTAAGGCCAGGTTTGCTACTAGGCCAAATGTAGGTGAGGCGTGGGCTCTACCCCTGCTTCCTGTCTACTGGGCCCTATCAGGTGGCTCTCCTTTCCCATCAATAACACTCTCTCAGGGATGGGAATGAACCCAGAACTCATTGCTGAGATTGTTCACACCAGAAACACTGATGCTTGTAATTAGATAAAACATCAAAATGAGCATGAAAAATCTTAATCATTAGTAATTACTATTATTGAGGTGAAGCCATTATGAGCTTATTATAACAATTATCCCAGAACAACTAAATAGTGGCAATCAATATTTTCAACTCTTTCCTCCTGTTATTTACAACATACACAGGTTAGATTTATAAAGTGAACCATATTTACCCACGGAGCGCCTACTATGCCCTGGGTCCTTTGCACAGGATTACAATAACCACTGTTGAAATGCAGGCTCCTGAAGAGTGAGAGACTGGCCCACGGTCAGATTGGAGGTGGGGAGAGACACAGGCTGCATGTTCTGCCTGTGGGGCCTTGGCCTTTTCAAATACAGGGGCTCTGTACACATTGCTCTTTGTTGTTATTAAACACTAGCATGCCATATTAAAAATATTTGAGAAAGTCACAAAGTTGCTGATTAAAAGTTATAGATGGGTATAATACAATTCCAGAGGTACAGAATCCCTAGCTTAATATAATTTTGTTCATTGTAAAAATTATTTTAATCCTTTTTCTCTATCCAGACGCCCAATTAGCAGGTGCTCTAGAGATAGAAAAATGATTGTTAGGATAGTTCAGTGTGAAGGAACTTTGCAAGTTTGTAATGAAGTAGAGCGGGTTGCAGGGGACCTGCCAAAGGTACACAAAGCCCTAAACTCACCCCTCTGGTAGGAGCCCCTTTCTTATGGGACTTATTTGGGATATTAGTATCAGCCTCTCTATTCTGCAGCCACATACCTAAGAATGCTCGCACTTTTGGCAGTAATCCTCTGAAATGTATTAGGGAAAATGGCCAGAGTGCTATCTGTGCATTAGAGAAAGACAGCAACTTTAAGACGCACACACAATACTCCTGCTGAAGGAATCTAAGACCAAGAGCTGCACTTGGTACAGAGGATGTTGGAACCCTGAATCAGCCCTGCAGCTAACTCCCCAGGATCTTCCACATGGGCTGATCCATTACACTCAAGTCAGCCATCTCACAGACCAGCTAGGCTGTTTTTCAGGATTAGGAGAAGAAAGGACAGGACAAAAACCAGCGAATTTCCTCCCCACAGAATTTATAACTAAAAGGAAGACTCCATGTAGGAAAATTATCACAGATGGGTACATAAGACAAAAGGCATGAAGAAAGTAGAAACAATCCCAGGTGGGCCAAGGGAAACCATCTCAGAGGTCATCTAGGTGGCCCTGAGAAAGGATAAAGTAGAGAAAGATTCTGTGAGGAAGATCTCAGAGGCAGGAAAGGACAGTGACCAGGGAACGACCAGCAAGTGGGAGGCCAGGACCATGCTGGGCAGGATTGACATGAGTGGTTGTAGGCAGGAACCAGGCTGTGTGATAGAGGGCCTTTCAGATTCCTGGTGAGGGCTTCTATGCAGGCTCCTGGCCTCGATACCCTGATTTGTGAATGAAAGTGCCAGAACCAAGAGATGAGGAACCCTGCCTTTCTGGGACCCTGGCTCCCAGGATCCCAGGGATCATTCAGCCATGCTTGGTGTCCCAGGCACAGCGCAGGCCACCCTTTCCACTGTACTGTGGGGGAGCTTCCTTGAGTTGGGGAAGCAGTTCTGTAGGTGCTCTGAGTGTGTATCTAGTGTGTTCACAGTGCTTATATCTATGGAGACTCATTTACATGGATACCCGGATATGGCCGGATGTGAGATAGGCCCTACCCTGCTGTCCTTTCTGGTCTGACCGTGTGCCAAACCCCTCCTCACCATCCTTTCTCCCAAACCTGGCTTATTTGGCCTCTTCTTTTTCCAACAGAAAGAAAGGCCACCAGCTTTCCTGCAAGGTCCTGGTAAAGAACCAAGCACAGGGGTCCACATAACTAACTATTTAACAAAATCTAAAGGGATAAGTAAAAGCCCTGACATCTGGATTAGTGCACTGCTCTCAGAATGGTTGCTCTTCCTAGGTTTTTTAAAATCCAATTGTAATAAAATCTGCCTCTTGTTTTAGGAGTATAAAATTCAACTTCCACTAGTACTAGGGGGCCACCAAACCCTGATTAGAGAAATGGATGAAGACAAGAGAGACAGAGAATATCTTTGTGGGGATGTCAGGGGACCTCTACCAGAATGGAGTCCATGGACATGGAGTCCTGAATTAAACTCTGTTTTATTGAGAAACAAAGGGTGAAGGAGCTCCACATCTCCCCCTTTTTATTTCTTTAAGCTG